CCAGATCCAGCGCCTAGAGCATTCGGTGGGCAGTCGAACAGACCAATATGCCCCAGGGAATTCACCCTCATAACCCAGGTTTGTCTGTAGCACAAACTGTGCCTTTATTTTCAATTTTCGACTAAAATAAAAAAGTTATTTTGAACCTTCTTCTGTATTAATGAGTAGTTGAAATACGGTAGTTATGTTTTTAAGCAGTCGTAAAAAAAGCTGGGAAAAAATGACAGAAATAAAAGTTTATGTTGTAGTATTTCTAAATGTGAAATTTTATTTTAGACAAAAAATTCCATATTCATCAGTTTACGTTTAAGGTAGACTATACAGCTGAAAATCTGAATTAGTAGGAAAGTTAGATATGCAGCTTCAAGTATCTGAATTAGTAGAAACGCTAATTTAAGAACGCTTTTTAGCCTTATATTAGATTATTTTTTTACAAGCCTTATATTAGATTACATATTTATTTATGATTGTTTTGGTTAGACTTTTATTAGAAACGTGTCGGTAAATGCGTTTATAATTAGGCGATTTTCAGGTTAAAATGCAATTCCTCAAATTGCGCAACAGTTGACTTCATTCGGCGAAAGAAAAATTTCCTCATCTTTCCTCATAATTCTAACTAGTTATCTCTTTGCTGATTTATCGGCGTTAAATCCGCAAAAAGTGAAAAAAGAATAACAAATCACATTAAGCCACTTTTTACGTATATTGATGATTCTTAAATCTTAACATAAAAATAATCCAAGCCGTTCCTTTATAAATTTCTCGTCTTTAGCGATGGGAAATTCTGAGCTTCTTGAAGAGCATTTAAATTTAGCAGAACATTGGGAAAAAATTATTTACCGAAGCCTATCGGCATATCGAGAGAATACGACACAAGTCTGTTTTCTTCAAAGAGTAAAATTATGAGTAATGTGACACAATCTTTCGGAATAAACACAGATTTTCTTCAAATTTCTCTCGGCTGAATACTTAGCTTTGCCTTTTCTCTAAATAACTACATTTAATTACTCGATGACAATTATTTTAATAGAGTCTCATTACGTCCACTTCTGTCATCAAGAACTATGTCCACTTTTTAATCTACTATATTCCAAAACAAAATCTTTATATCAGCTTTCTATGTGAAAACCTAATAATGATAAATGTCGTGTAACTCAGTTCTGATTAGACGAAAAGACCTCTAACTGCAAGCATTATTCAATATAAGCTAACTCATCACATATGCTACCAGGTACTATGTTTTGTGAAAGTTGCCCAAATGTTTTTAATTACCGTGCCTAAAATGACTTGTAAATCAGAGAGATGTACGCAGTAACTATATTTTTGTTCTTCACAGTTAGATTTCTACATGCCTCACCTGTAAGAAAAGTTAGAAGAAGCATTTCCTCCCAGATTTTATACTTCAACTTTTGACGAATATATGAATAGAGATTTGATACACAGTTTTGGACTGGAATCATTTAAATGTTTTAAATTTGTTTTCATATATATTTAAGTAAATAAAGCTGCTAGCTGTGTTACTTGACTCCGTTTGCTTAGCTATATGGTATTAACAAAGAAAGCAAAGCTGCAGAAACAAAAACAAAATAATTTATAACTTTTGCTACTACTTTTCATCGGTCACTTAAATCTTAAGACCTAGAAACTTGTTTCTGGTTTCGAAATAATTTCGTATTCATTAAAATGTTTTTAGTGGATAAATGACAAAACAATTAAAATATATACTTGACTCAAAAAAAAATCTCAAACTGTCATTTAAATTTGCTTTCTACTGATCATGCGTACATAAGCGATATTTCTTCTCATCATTAAAAATTCAAGAAAATTTCTAGCAGCATTTTTTGCATTTGCCTTTGGAATATGGATCACTTTCCGAATATCCCTTCGCTATAAAGGGTTGAGTACCTGAACAAAAGCTTCGAAATACCAATTCAGTAGAAAGATGATGCATATGCAAATATCAGCACTATGTCGTCAAAGGGTACGTCAGGGCACACAAATTGTGAGGAGTTAGCGAGCGCAGCGCTAGGCAACTTAAAAAAAAAAAAAAAAAAAAAAAAAAAAAAAAAGTATATTTCTTTACAGACTGTACGAGCAGTATGGCTACAAGAAAACTACAAGACGCCTTTACACATTGTTGAATTACAAGTTTGAGATGGGGCGTAGTTTGACGTCTTGCCGCCAAAAGTTGGAATTTATAAAAAGTGTTGTTCCACGAACTTGGAAAGACTTCCAAACGAGAGTTACAGCTTAGAAAAAGGTTGATGGTTCTCTGCCAAGGAAAGCAGCTGCGATTGACGACCGATATATAGCTCTGCAGGCGAAAAAAGAATTAAACCATATAACGGGAAATATTGCTCAGCAGCTGAACACGGCAATGACTGCGTTGCAACGCTTGTCAAACCACATTTACTGCACAGGTGTCCTGGTTTACTATTGCTATAAAAACGATTTATTCAGCCGCTATCCTGATCGCTGCATACCACTGACAGCAGCCCATCCGCGACACCGTTTACAGTGGTATATAAAGCACAGAGGCCTTACACCTTTACCAATGGAGACACTTTCTGTTTACCGATGAGATTTCATTTCTCGTCTGACAAAAAGATTCTCAGCGCCAGTTGATATGGAGACAGGAAGGGACACACTGTCATCCTACTAATATCACAGAAATACCGTTGGCGTGGTCCTGGCCTTCTTGCATACGAAGGCATTACAATGAGCTGACGGACAGAGCTCCACATTTTCAACAGAAGTTCACTTGCTGGAGACCGTTATGTGATGAATTTATCTTCCTTCACGTATGTCTTTTTAGAAATGCCATTAGTCCTGGCTTTGTTTTTATGAACGACAATGCACAGTCACGCAGGACTCATGCTGCTGAAGAGCCCCTGGAATGTGAAGATATCTACAGAATGGATTGGCCAGTGAGTTTCTGCGATTTAAATCTCATTGAACAGGTGGGAGATACTTTAGGGAGATGCTTGGAGGCACGATCTTACTCTCCAGAGAACAACAGACAACTGAAAGAGATGTTCTTTGAAGAATGGGAACTCTTACCCAAGAAAATGTTAGATAATCTGGTGTTGAGTACCGACAAACGGTGCAGCGCAACCACTGTAGGTTAGGGGAAGGTCATGTTGTGCTTTACTTAAGTTCTTTGGTTTGTTGTTCTCACTCTTGGCCAGAGAGGTTTTTTTACCCTGTGCTATTCCAAAATCAGAAATGGTGCTTAAGTTTTGCGCATTAGTACTATATTTGCATCCTATATATGGCACCTATTCTCGTCTAGAGCAATGAAGAATAGTCACTCCACCTCTGATGGGAATACTTAGAGTAGTATGGAATCTTTAGCTAATAAAGTCATACTTTTTACGTTATAAAGTATCTTCTCCCTCCTTTTAGTATGCCTTCGTGATATAACTGAAAGCTTGCTCGATATTTGGGAAGTCTGGAGCTCTAATCCGGACTAGGGCACTGCAGATTCCTCCAGTTTTCTGACATCGGAAAAATTATAAATTTACTCTTAAGTAGCCTCCAAACTAAAAAGACTAAAAATGGGGAACAATAATTCATCACCATCAAGATTTGACGACTGAGTCGCTTAAAGCGCAGTCGCCCTTTAAAAGGGAGAGTATATAATATATTTTCTTCCTCCTTTTCGTATGCCATTGTCGTGTAACTGGAAGCAAGCTCAACACATATTCGGGAGGTCCAGAATTCAAATCCCAGCGAGAGAACCATAATTTGTGCCGTTCCTGCATCTGTTAAACCTAATTAGTCTACGATTTTTTACATGCTGTAAAGCTTAGGATTTCTATCGACAAACAGAATATCAGAGTTGTTTCGGAGAACATTAGAAAAAGCTCCAGAGAATTTTTTTAAGCCGTTGCTTGTATTTATCTTCTACATCATTTGTTTTCGACGTAAAAGTTATAAAAGTAATGCTGTGGTTATGTAATCACATTATTTAAATTCTTTTATGTGCTAAGTTCAGATATCAAAATATTTCCACTCTGTATGAAATATAAGACGTTTTATAAGAATTCTAGGGAAAAAAATTATTTATTGGAGTAAAATTCTCAATAAAAATTTTATTACCATATAAAATAAAATGAAATATGTTAACTGTGGAAAAAATATATATACATAAATGAGTAAATAATTATATAATTTCCTGTTGCGCGATAACTTTAAAAACGTTTTGAAAGAGAGCACATTACATATTGTGGGTATATCTTTTGAAATTTCCACTGATCAGGTTAATCGAAAAAAATATGAATTTAAAAAAAATTATTGCTACGAATTTTGTATTAGGACTATAAAAATGAAACAATTTTGTGCCTAAAGGAGTTTTTGTTGGTACTAAAAATTTTTAAACAGAATTTGCATTTCAATCATTTCGAAACAATAAACGTGACTTTTCCAAGTCTTAATTTCACTGGGAAAAATGGAGTCCTGAGACATTTCTGGATTTTCCCCCTGTTTTTAACTAATATTAATTTTTTAAAAATTGTTACATTATTATTTGGATGAATTTCATGTATATATTTTCTAAAACTGATAGTTTATTATTTGGATGAATTTCGTGAAAAATTTTGTAAAACATAGAATAAATACATTGTTTAAAAGACACAACTTAAAAACCCTCATTTAACCTCTATAACTAATAACAACATAATTGAAGTCGTCCTAACACTTCTTTGAGCCGCTCTGCGAACCGTCATAGCTAAATCACGCTTTTTGTTTCAGTAAGAATAAGAAATTTCAGTTAATATTTTCAGATAAAAAAATTATATCCAAGAAAAAAAATAATGCTAACCTTTCTTAGGCATTTTGAGACAGTTATAAAGCAATAACAAAAAAAAAAAAAAAAAAAAAAAAAAAAAAAAAAACTGAAATAAATGAATTCCTTTTGGCGAAACTAGGGAAATCGCTTGGCGGCAGTCGCATTCGCTAACCTTGCATTGAAGGCAGCAGAGTGTAGAAATTTATTCTTTCTCTATGAGCCTAGCGGCGTATTTTTAAAAGCTGGAGCTGAGTTGTCGGCATGTTATTTCATTTGCTTATTCTGTAGCGCTTTCTGCTATGGAGTAAAAACTGTTCTGAAATGTTGTTCTCAAACCAATAGCTTAAAAACAACTTGTATTATGGATTTCTTAACTGATGTCTGACACAGAGGGAAAAATGGTAAAGATATTTTTTCCTTATATTTCTTATCAGGAAAGAACATTTGTTTACGGTTTTCTTCAATGCATATCAATAAATACGGGTTGCACTTAACATGAAATTAAGTAAAGATTAAAATAATTTATGCATAAAATTACGCATTATTTTATTTGAGAACAACTTTTAAATCAAAATAACAATTATTTGTGCAAAAATGATTACAACATTTTCTATTCAATCCTATATAATGTAAGTTTAAATTAGGAATTGAATTTCAGATTAAGCATTAATTTTCATGTTCCATATTATTTTATCACATATCAGCTCACATTATTATTATTAATGAAATTAAATTTAAAATATTGGAAAGAAAAACAATTCCATAGAAATGTTAATTGTTTTCTTTCCAAAAGATTAACTTTTTCTGCAGTTTTACAATGGCTCACATTTGTTTTCGAACACTTGTATATTTGAAATTCAGTTGCATAGATATTGTACTAAGTATTGGAACAAAGACTTCAGATTTTTTTTCCGCTATATTGTATTTTTAGTTTAAAGGATGTTACCACAGAAGGGCTATTAATTTCGTTCCGGTATTTTGCGTTGAAAACTTTAAAAAGCTGTATCACTTTTCAAATCGTTGCCACCATACTATATTATCGCTCTGTGTTATATTTTTAAAGAAATTAAATATTGAAAAATCTGCATAAATGTATGTATGTTTCTCGCATTGTGATAAAACAACGGTACCTAGAGCCATCCAGTTTTGAATAACGTAATTTCCCACCTAATATGGGTGTCTGGAAGACCTAATTTGGAATTTGAAATTTGTTTTATTATCGATTTCATATTTTCTAATTCTTCAACGAATTTTTGATTAACAAACTCAACGATTTCAAAGCGAGCTGTGGCAAAACTGTACGGAAAAAAAAAAAAAAAACATTTTTATCTCCAGCGCGCGAGATTGTTTATCGGAAATTCTAAAAATATGTTCAATTAAAAATTATTTTGCGATATTGCTGTTGAATTGAGTTTTATGGTTTAAGTGTAAAGAACATTTAATAAATAAAGGTAACACTCAAAAGGTTTAAAAACCGTTGTGCGTAATGTAAAATCTGAAAGCTTTCAGATTTTTTTTAAATTTATTCTTGGTTACGGCAAAATAAATATTTTTGTAATAATGTAGTTTATTCAAAAATATCATCAAAATATTCCTTATAATAAAATAATTTATTCAAAATGTGTTAATCAGTAACTCACATAAATAATTTGGATACTCGAAAATTTTGTTGAAATGTTTAGGTAGACTATGCTTCTTACCGCAGATTTTTATTTTTAAAAAAACGTATCAGAATAATTATCGTCTATATTTAAAAATTATTACTTGTTTAGCAAAATATATAAACAGTTCCATACCTGAAGTGAGCAGGGCGAGACACTTAAAATGAACGTCAAATTATGTAAGAAATTTAATTATTCATTATTTTAAAGATGGTAAAAGTATTCGAAATATGAAAGAAATTCTTGATTTAAAATGGGGTGAGTTACCTTTGATGTAATAAAACGGTGCAAAATACATGGAGTTGAAAGTACGCTGGATTCTGTAACATATTCCAAGCTAACACCAAGGAATCGCATATTTATTCTATTAAGAACCCCAAAAGACCCAAAAATTAGTGCTGTGAAACATGGAGCTCATTTAGAAGATCGGTTTGGATATAAGTTAACTCTGAAGCTGTTAGAGGCATTAGGGCACGTGGATACAATCAGCGATCAGCAAGAAGAAAATTCTTTGTCAACAAGAAAACAAGAGAAATATGTCTGTCATTCGCAAAATCCATGCTAAGCAAAGAACATATCATACTGGGGAAGTGCTATATTTGCCGATGAGAAAAAATTAAATATATTTGGGTCGACCAAATGTAAATAAATATATTTATATATATAACTACTTTGTTACCCGGCTCAGTGATCTCAGTTTCTTTACTCTTATATGTTTGTAGATTTTGCTTTAAAAATGATTGAATTATGTTGTTCTTATCTTCCGGTTAAGGTTTTTATGCCTTTAGGAAATCTGCAAGCAATATTTGTAGAATTAGAAACAGTTTAAAAGCTGTTTAAGTGCGGTTAAGCCTATTTTTTAAATAACATGGCGCGCATGTTTGTTTACATTTGACACAGTAGAATAGTAGATTTGTTGCCAATCTAGAGAGACTAAGCTTTGCAACAATAAAGATAACGCCTTCATTTATTATTGCGAATTAAATCATGCTTAATCGTTTGTGGAATTTTTTCCGAGGAAATAAGTGTTTAAAATTCGTAATTTTTAATACAGATATTTTGAGTTTTTATGTATTTTTTCCTTGTCGCGAAATTAAAACTAAATTAATTGAATGAGAAATGCTGAATCGTCTGTAAAAAACTGTTTCATTTATGTTTTGTTTACATAATTTCCTTTATACATCGTTCAAGATTTATTATAGTATTTGAATTGAACATGTGGCAACGATTAGATAATTCTTCAAATGATATAAATTTTGTGCATTCTGAGTTATAATATGAACGAAATATAACGCTGTTAAGTGAACCTAGCGCCAGAGTGTCGCTATGGTAAACAAATATATTGAATTTTAAAGAGTGCATTTATTCTATTCTATCTTATGCTCTGCCGATGAAGTAGATTTAATTCAATCCCAATAAGTTTAAATGAAATGAAAAAAAAAAAAAATGCGTATAATTTAATATTCCGTACAAGGAAGTCATGTGGTGTACATATCAGATTTTTTACTTTGATAGTACGCGTAGGGTACTACGCGTAGGGTTATTATTTATATAAAGGTACTTCAATCGAATGAATAAATGTTTAAAATTTAAATGATTCTTCGTAGGATTATTTCGACTAATTGAAAATGTATGTAACTTGGAAACATTTATTCCAAATAACTTATATACCGCAAGCAGATAAAAAAAAAGCATACAAAAAGTTTTAAAGTAAAACTTAGTTTATGTTCACTGTTTTTCCTACATCCAAATCTTTATTCATAGAAAAAGAAAACTGGTAACACGCGAAATGTAAAAACTAAGGTCAGCGTTTAAAATCCTTTTGATAAACAAAATGGTTAAAGACGATAAACATAAATGTCAAATGTAATTTTAAGTTAAGTCTCATTCTCATAAAAATTTGAACGTTAAACTTGAAGCGTTTGAACTTTACAATGTTAAAATAATCAACATTCAAATTTTCAGCGGGCTACTTCACACAGTGCATTGCATTAAGAAATAAAATTTATGAAATACCATTTAAGGTTATAAAAATTTATTCTAAAATTAACTGTTTTCCCAGAGTATGACGGTTTTATGCTCTGTGAAAATCTATGGCATATTGCAATTTCTTGATCCTTATAGGTATACTAGTAATGATTTGAGGGGATAATGATATATTTATTCGCTATGAAAACAATTTAAGATGTTTTATTTATACATATAATTTATAAAGCGTACTAAAATTATTTTTATTCGTATACTTTTATTAAAAAATTTCTGAATCTCGGTTATATAGTATGTGACATTAGAAATATATTTTGTAAGCTGATTTAATAATTTCTAACAATTTTTCTTTAACATTTATTATGAGCCTAGTGGCCGCATGCATATTCTAACAAGTTTCAGCGAAGTGAATTCATAACGGTTGCAGTGGATAGGCAATGCAAAGAAACGGTCTACTAGATTAGAGCTGCGTTGCGTAAACTGTGAGTCGCGATATCTAATCGGGTCGCACAGCAAAATGTTGTTGTCACGAAAATTTAACTCAGATACATGATTTTAGAGGAGTTACATCAATGAGAATTTTAAAGAAATTACATTAATTAACATTAATGAGATAAATCACCTGCCATATAAAGCTCAAAAGTTATTTGTTTTGAGCTATCGAGTGACTGAAATTTATTATTTCCACAAAAATCCTCGACTGAATTGTGGATCTAAGCTAAAACTGAATTTCCCACAATTTCTAAAATAGCAATTAATTCTCTTTTACCATTTAAGCATCACATACTTATGGGATACAATGTTTTCAATTTTAACCCTTATATAATTTAAATATCGTTTAGTGCTGAAAACCGTTGAAGATGCTTTACGTCCAGCGGTGTCTTTAATTTGTTATGCAGCAAAAGATAAGCAAACCTGCCTCATTAAAATAAGGTTACGTTATTTAATTACGGCAAAGTCTCGAGGGCTATCTGCCTAAGGGGAGGGATGCCTTCGTGGAGGACTTTCTAAGGGAAACTGACTCGTATACACGTTACACATGGGGGAAACCGCGAAAACACCCATGCAGCCAACCCGTTCGCGGGATTCGAAGCTCGGACCGAACTACCAGTGTTCAGCAACTTTACCGCTCGGCCGCTGGTGAACTCATAAAAATAAGATTTTCTTTCATTAATTTTTGTTTGCTTAGAACAAATCCTAGAATGACGTTTTTTCATATGTGTACTGTTTACCAAAGAAATAAATTATTTATGACAAAATATTTATTTTTTATAGCTTTATTTTATGTATATATAATGGCTGGAGTTTCGAAAAAATCTCGATGATATAATGGGGTCATAAATGAAAAACGTTTAAAAGGAACTGGACTAGATTGTCGTACCATTCAAATCGGAATTACCTTGCTAAAGACGTTCCAACTTCTTTTGCTAAGTAATTCCTATTTCATCGGTACAACATTCTGTTTGTTAAGATGATAAAATCTCTACATGTAAGAATTTGTTCCATCGGCAAGCATTCTGTTGATTTAGAAAAAACGTTAAACTATTACCATGAATCCTTTGCTTTCAAACTGATTTCTTTATTATGTTGATAAATAATGTGTTGTTATAACTTGAAAGATGAATTTAAAGTCCTACGTCCCTGAAATTGGAAATATTCTACAGCTCTGCCAAAACCAGCGAGATTTTGTGATACATGTTGTATGGTACTATTGTAACTGAACTACATAATTCTTAGAACCTCTTTTATTAATT